TTGCGCAAAGCGCAGACATGGCAAACAATCGTGTCGTACGGTTCGACGACGCAGTTCTCGAGGACAATGCCCTCGAGTTGTTTGTGCTCCCGCTTAACCAGGTCCGGTTTCGCGCGCGATGCGCCATGTCAAGTGATGTCGCACACCCCACTGCCCATTCCATCCACGACTGCACAGACGCATCGTCCCGCCGGTCCGTCTTGGCACAACCACAACTCTGGACGGTCGCCCCCGAATCCCGGAGACGTAGTTTCGTTACGTTCGTGCAATTGCGTTGGAAACGACGGACCGTTTCGCCAAATATTGGAGCCATGACGGTGTGCGGTGACGTGGGAGGCGGCAAGGATCGACCGTCCTGGCTTCGCGTCGTCGATCGAGCGAGCATTGTCGTGGCGGTTGCGGCGCAGGTCACGATGGCCATGACTTACATGCTAATCCTGCGCGACTACGCCACGAACGACTACTTTTGGACCCATTTCAACGTGACGGGCACGCAGTCATTCGTGTTGGACGTGTACAACTCCCAGCACTGGCTGCCGTCCGAGTCCGCGCCCTTGGGTCTGTTCACCATGGACATGGGGTCGCTGAAAGACTACTCGACGCCGCTCACGTCGCTAACGATCCAAGCGTCGCGCAGTCGGTACACCGCCTGGCAAGCATCCGACGACTTACACGTGGCGATCGCGGGGATGAGGACACAGTCCGTGAGCTTTAGCGTCCTCAGCCTGACGTGTTTTTGTTGGGTCGACTTTGAGCGGATATGGGAGACAGCCCACACGGCGGCACGGCAAGCGCGATGCCACGCACGCTACCGACCCAACGGCGTCATGTACTTGGAGTCCATGCTTCGGAACGTAGAGTGGCGGGCGTGGTATCGAATCTGGGGCTCGCAGTTTGACGTTGCGTTCGGCAACACGCTCGCGTCGTCAGCGGCAGGCGTCCGGTGGCTCGACCGAACGACCACCGCCCTCCCCCTCACGTCCATCACCGACGAAGCGGCGCACTGGCGACACTACAACGTGACGCGGTACCTTCTTCCGTGGGGCAACTCGCGCACGTTAGGTTTCGACGACTCGGTTGTGATACGAAACGCGCTGCAGTCGTATTTGCTCCCGCTCAACAATGTGTTGTACCAGAGTCGTGGCGGGCTATGGACCAGCGTGATCGCGTCGTTTGGCGTCTGGAATGCCCTGGGGTATGCTATCCGAATCAATGCGAGCCTCATTCGAGATGTCCCCAACTCGTTTGTAAACAGCTCGAGGACCCCCGAGGACTGGGTCGGTGGGTACCCCTCGACCCCGTCCAGCATCTTGATCCACAACGACATTGGGCCCCTCGCGTCCATCGATCTCATGTATGTGGCGTACCCCCCGGCATTTGTCGCGCTCCACGATCTTCTGCACAAATCGTTGGTCCGGGCGCTTCAAACGCAGCCGTCGCTCGCAAATCTCTTCCTCAACGTGCCGCTTGGCCCGCCGTCGTACTCGATTACGCCCCCCGCATGGCGCCAACTCAACGACGTATGGTTTCTCGGGGGAAGTCCGCTGTGTTACCAGGGCTCGCCGCAAAAAGTCGTCCAGCACAGTTTTAGCTTTGACAGTCCCTGTGCGCCGCCGTATCCGACGCTCCAAGTCACCCCGACTCGATTCAACTTGGTGTTTGGCCTAGTCATGCTGCACTCGATCTTGGACATCCAACAACACGTCGACGCCACTTGCGCGATCGCGACCGGCGTAGACGTCCAGTCGGCGTGCAAACACAGTCTAGAGGCAGCGTACAAGTTGTTTATTCAGTGGCCGTACACGAGCACGACCCAGAACATGTCAGGCCTAGTCGAGTCGGTGGCGCACGACGTGGCTGCACTCAACATCGAGTTCCTTCAATTCGGTACGACCATCGACGGTCAACTCAAGACGCTGCATCAGCCACTCGTGGACGCACGCGATGCGCGGTGGTCGTTTTATGGGTGGCTGACACTACTAGATTGGGTCGAGGGCCGTCGCGAAGTCGTCTCGTTCGAGGGAGACGCAGCCACGTTTGTCGTGATGTCGGAGCAGGACGACCCGAGTACGTTCAAAATGGACCCGCTCGCCACGCCGAACCGGTTTGGGTTTGCCATTTGGGTTGTCGTGTGGTATTCGGTGGGGCTCATTACCCTCGTCATGATTGTGGCCGTCGGGGGCGGGCTCCTGTCGTCCACACAAGGGTCGTCCTGGCGCAACTTGCTGTCGGTGAATCGGGTGGTCGGGATCGTTTGGATCGGACGGCCACTGCTGTTTGTCCGGGGATTCACTGCCATGTCGCTCCTCAGCACGGCGCACATCGAACTCGTTCAGACGAATGGGTTCACACGGTTCGAAGTCACCTCACGGTCCATTTGGCAGTCGATCGTTGTCGCTGGCGAGTGCCTCTGGGTGACGTACTCGATCAACGACATTTTGTCCCTTGCTACAACGACGCGGACACACCGCTGTGGCGTGGCCAGCGCTGCGATCGTGTGGGTAGCTGCCGTCGCCCTCGACGTCATCGACCCCATCGCCCCGACGGCGACGTGGTCGCGCAACTGCACGTCCACAAGCATTCAATCCCAAATGTCGTGTGTATCGGGCGAAGTCTACATTGGAAGCTATGACAGGTTCTTCCTCCTGTGCATGCTGCAGATCGCGGCCGTCGTGATCGGGTGGGGCGTGCTCGTCATTCTCGACGACGACAAGGCACACCGGAAGACTGCACCATCCCTGGAGCACCGGCCGCCATCGACGCCTTGTCCTGTCATTGTTCCCGCCGTTGCGTTGTACCATCTCGACAGCCAAGTGCCACCGCGCGGCGGCGGCACCGCCTCCAGCTCCGTCTACTATTTCGACTCGACGACGAGTTTGCTCAGTGGATTCGTCAAGTTTCGCGACGTGTTCACGCAAAAGGCGTACGTGTTTAGCTTGCTCTTGTGGGTGTACCTTCCCATCGTGGACCGAAAAGGAACGGCAGTACAGGCGCCGCACCGGCGCACACTGCATTCGCTGCCATCGCAGCTCCCAGGGCCCCCGCACCAACTGCTCGGGCATTCCAGCATGTCCTGCAAGCGGCACCAGCAACTCAAGGCCGCGGTCGGCATTCTCTTCCTCGCGTTGTCCGCGTTGTCGTCCGCGTCGTTCTTTTACGTGTCCCACGTCAAACTCGGCAACGATTTCATGTGGGAAGGACTCAACAGCACGGGGTTGCAAGCTTTTCTCGTCGACTGGTATAACTTCGAGCTCCTGTTCCGACCGGTGGCAGCAAACCTTGACCCGTCGGAAGCGCGGACGACGGCGCTGTACAACGGCACCCGAACAACCGTCTCGTCCAGCGCACTATACCCGCAGCAGATCCAATTCGAAGGGCTGTCGCTCGTCGCGACGGTAGCAAGCCTCCAGGCCACGGATCCGTGCCAGCTGCCATGGGTCGCGACGCAGCTGTGCTACGTCGATTTTCAACGGCGATGGGAAATGGCGAGTACTGCGATCCGGCAGCGTCGATGCCACGCCATGGTGTCAAACGCCGCTATCTTTCTAGAGTCTATCTTGCGCAATACCAACATGGAAGCGTTTGTAGCGTGCTGGGGCCCGTCGGTCGAAGTCGGGCTATTCCACGACCTCCGGCAATCCACCGATGGAAAGGAATGGATCGCGTCCGTCATGGCGGCGCCGATATCGCCCGACGAGGAAGTCGCGGTGTGGACATCCCAGTTTGGCATTGCGTCGTTTACGACGCAGTGGCAAAACTACAAAAGCCTTGGCATTGTCGAGACGGTCGCGGTGCGAAACGCGCTCGGGGCCCTCTACCCCCTCACGCTCAAGACATCGAGTGGGGTGTATCGCTTTGAACTCGAAACGTCGCGCAAGATGTACTGGGGCTGGGCCACGGACCTATGGCTCGTTGGCCGCAACGCGTCCCCGACGTTTGGCGCATGCCTCGTTCGCAGCTCCAGTGTGTTCTTGTACCGGAACGGGTCGGTAGAACAAGCGTTGGCCACCAACCAAACGCTGGCCATGCCGCTGAACGCAGGCTTGATGCTGGTCCGGGCGAGGCTGGGTCCGTTTGGCAGCGTCGACATGATTCACGTCGCGATACCGCAAGACGTGCTCGACTTGGTGCGGCAAGTCAGTGTCGTCGACATGCAAACGATGCAACGGAATCGATCGTCGCAATCGCCAACGACGCGCACCGTGCGGTTCATTTACCCCGTGCCAGCGACGTGGTTACGCCAGAATGTGTCGACATGCGGAGGCAGTCTGCTGTGCGCACCGCAGGACATGGCCCAGGACTTAGCAGGGGGGTTGCTCCCGTTTTTCAGCTCGAGTTCGACGTGTGGGTCGGTCGTGTTGGAGCCGATCGAAGTGACGCGGGCGGCGTTCCTGTTTGCGTTGATTGCGTGGGGCGCCGTCGAGCCATGCAGACGCGAGAACGGCGCGGCATGCGTGACCGTGCTCGACGCATGCTCCAACATTTCAAGGCCGTTTACAACGTGCGTGGAGAACTTTGGACTGATCCAGCGGTGGATTGCAATGTACGTGCGACCGGACAACCGCACAGCGCTGTGGCGCCAGGCGCAAAGGATCAAGGCGTCGAGTCTCGCGCCGCTCGAGATCGCGATCATGCAGTTTGTGACACGGCATGGCGGGACGCAGGACGTCGAGCTGTGGGACGCACGCTTGTTTGACGCGGAAGACCCGTACTTTCAGCTCATGGCGTGGTTCTTTGTCTACGAGTGGGTCGTTGGATGCCGCGAAGTCGTGACGTTCCATGGCGACGGTGGCGCGATGACGCTGCTCTCCAACTACATCTCGCAAACGACAATGTTGGCCAACCCGTTTGAGATTCCGTCCAACGTGGCGTTCTACTGCCTCGTGTGCATCCAGTACACGACGGGGGTGATTTTCGTCGTCACGTTCATCACGATCGTGTACAGCGTGGTCGGGCGAGGGCGTATCGAGGGGTACAACATGCTCGAAGTGAATCGTGTGGCTGGGATTGTTTGGGTCGGTCGGCCGCTTTTGTGCTTGCGCAGCCTTGTCGCGATCTGCTTGCTGGCGACGGCGTCCGTGGACCTCGAGATCGCCGGCGCGCTCACTCAAATCGCACCACGGTCCAACGCCGAGTTCGTCTCGACCGCACTCTCGAGCTCTGAAATGTGCTGGCTCGTCATTGTGCTCACCGACATGTGCATGGCCGCCACAAAGGACTACACAAACAGGTACTCGATGCGGAGCAGCGTCGTCGTGACGGCGATCGCGACGACGTGGAGAGCCCTCCATCCCGTGACGCCCGTGTTCCAATTGACCCGCCAATGCACGTCGTCACAAGTCGATTTTCAGCTGGAATGCACCGCTGGCATGATCAGCATCGGGCAGGTGTCGCGGGTGTCAGAGATGGCGACCCTGACAATGACCGTGGTGGGATTGTCGTACGTGTGGGAGCGGTGGCGACAACCCCACTTCAAACTGCCGCGTCACAAGGTGTCGCTGCTCCTGCCAGCGGGGGCGCTCTATTTGTATCACAAAGAACCATGGATCTTCAACAATACTCTCTACTTGGACAAAGCGTCGGCGTTCATGTGCGGCCTCGTCGCCGTGACGGTCAGCCAAACTACGTACGTCCTCGACATCAAGACGTGGCGTCTGCACACGATCACTGACGACGACGACATGCTCCATGGCATGCACGGCATGGACCCTTACAAGCGCAGCTCGATGCTGGCAGCAGTCCCCATGCTTGAATGACCTTTCTTCCTGCTTTCATCCTCGGGGAGAGGGTGTTTGCGTGAGTCCTTTCGACGGTGGCACGCGTCAGCCCACACGTTTAGCTTCGTAGCATTGTAACAACAACGGAGTCGAGTTCATGTGCCGATTGTATGTCAACGGCACGACGAAGGTGTCGAGGACATGTTGCACCTCCTGTCACTTGATTTTAGAATGGTGGCTTTTCCACTTGGTCGTGCCTTCATCGGAATTGTTGACATTGCGTTTGGCATCGTGGCGATCGCTCGGACATGCACCGTCTGGCCCATGTCGTCGCACAGCGCAACGTACGAGCAGTGCTCTTTGACCTCACGAGTTGCCACGTACGTGCGTGAACGATCGACGCAGGTATGACTCATGTGCCGCACACGCAGCACTCGTTGCAATCGACGTGCGTGGCCGTACCTGCCTTGGTCAAGTGCGGGTTTCGCGTTGGCCTGTTGACGTCGACGGCTTCCGAAACCTTCGCAAGCGCCGACAAGTCTGTCTATTGCACCATGGCAAAAGAAGTAAGGCACGGTGCATCTTGGGAGATCCCATCAACTATCACAACCACGACGCTCGGTGCGATGCCTGTCTGCTTATTCAACGTGTGGTAGACTTTTGCGCAGGATGCCGCGGCATTTCTGCAAGTGTCGACGGACAGAACCGTGACGTTTCAACCGCGCGGCAGTGTCACGTTGGCGGACGCCGTCCTGGCCAATGTCCACTTTGACACACCCAACGAGTTTGTCGACGGTACTGCTGGCATCGCAGTGCAACGCTGATGGCGTTCGAGGTAGAGCTCCTAGGCTTTCCCCACGCGCTGGACCCGCAGTGGACGCAGTTTGGGCCATTTCCTATCCGTCTATCCGAAGTATTCTACACGTCGCCGCTGTCCATCGGTCTCGTGAACCTCAAGCCGATCGTACCAGGTACACCTTCGCCATATGTCTGCATTCCGACAAACGGACGTTCTAGGCCATGTACTCGTCATTCCTAAACGCCGCGTCGCGCGGTTCCTCGACCTGGATGCGGACGAAGTGGCCGACCTGTGGCACACCGCGCAGGTGAGCAATCCTGGCAATTGCAAGCACCGGTGAATCGCTGCTTCCCTTGTTCATTCTCGTGCCACGTCGTAGCTGGTCGCCAAGCGGTTGCAACAGTATTACGCAGCCGATGCCTACACGTTTTCGATTCAAGTACGTGCGGGTGGCATAGTGTCCGTCTCACCCGCCACGGGGCTTGAGCTACCTTCCATTTTCACGCGTCGACATGTATTGTAACCACAGGACGGGCCCGTTGCCGGGCAAACCGTGCCCCACTGCCACGTGCATGTCCTACCCCGACGCCCGCATGACTTTGCCAAGAACGACGAAATCTACGACCACGTAAGTGGCCGCGACTGGCTGTGCCGTTTGCAGAAGACACGGACAGCTCACGACTTGATTTAGTTGGGCAAACAGGACGCAACGAGGCCGTTTGAATTGGACCCTGACGACCACCGCGTCCGTCGAAGTCTGGACGAAATGGCGGCGGAAGCCGCCGTCCTTCGCGAGATCCTCTCCAAGTAGCGACAACACGCATCGCACTCGTGACATTGGAGTGAGTTATCCCAACAGGAACGACGTCAACAGAGCTTTGTCTTGTTCCACAAAGCTCGCGGACGGCTCGGCGACCAGGTGTGGCAGCGGGACGAACGGGACGTGTACGACGGATGCAAACCCTTCGGCGACCTACGACGAAATCGCTCACAGAGATCGATCGGGTCGTTGCAAGTCTCGGTCCATGTACCGTCGGCACTTGGACGTTCTTGAAGAAGCCAT